TAGCAAAAATTTTAAAAAAACAAAATCCAAGTAAAATGACAAAAGTCTGATACTTGCTTCATTTGTTTGTTGTACTAGATTGAATTTTTGCCCAAGGGATGTCTTTCTATCCGTGTGTCAGGACTGGGGAAGTGCTGAGGCAAAGATGATTCACAGAACTAGTAGCAGGATCCGGGGGCAGAGCAGTCATTTAGCAGGAGGGAGAGGAAGAACTGTGTTCATGGAAGCAAAGTCCTGACAAAACCAACTTAAACTTTAAGAAGAAACACTTTCAAATTTTAGGTTAGACATTGCATTAGGTAACCATGCTTTATTATTGTAACTTTATTAAAAGTCACTTCTGAGTACTACTAACAGCAACAACAAACAGTGACAAATGATAGAGAATTAAAAATGTGTGGGAGGAAGGAAGGAAAGAGGAGAGAAAGGAAGAGGAAGAGAAGAAAGGAAGGAAGAAGGAAGAAAGCAAGGGAGGAGGAAAGATGAAAGAAAGGAAGGAAGGAGGGAGGGAGGGGAAACAAGGAAACAGGGAAGGGAGGGAGGGAGGAAGGAAGGAAGAAAAGGACAGAGGAAGGAGAACATACATGCTATTTTGGAGATGTCTCTGGCATTTGAGCCTCTCTATGCTTAATTTTCTTAAATTTCCTTAAACTAAGAAATTGTTATGATGTTTTTACCTCACAATTCCATAACTTTTATACCAGTAGGCGCTTGTGTGGGTGTGTATGTTTGTTGTCAGAAAGTAGTCTATCAAAACCAAACAAAATACCCAAAAACATTTAATTTTTCCTTGAAGGGACTGTTTGACCTATAGAATTTCCATATAGAATTTCCATTTTAAGAGTAAAAAAAAATCACAAAGTAATGCATTCTGATTATGACTATGTGTCTGTACAATATTATGTTTGTAAATAGCTGATTTTTAACTAAGTTGATTTTAAGGTTATTGTTACTGATATATGGCAAATGGTTTCAAGAGAAGTGGCTGGAATTAGATGTCCTTCCAAGTTATCATAGAAGAAGATTGCTTTCTTAGTCTAACTCTAGTTTCTTGGTGCAGCACATTTTGTAAAGCCTCCTGGGTCATTTTGAGCCAAATCAAAACCATTGGCAATTAAACAACCAAACCATCTCATCAATTACATGTTCTCTATAGTCACTCATTGGTTGTTTTGTACAACATGATATTTGCGATCTTAATTCTCCAATTTTGTCACTTAAGTGTGTTTCTTACTGAGTCCTACATTTTTCTAAATATAGAAATTAACCAAAAAGTCATAAAAAATTTTGTCACAATGAATACATTCAAATTATGTGCTCTGGAAATAATTCCCAAGAGGGTGTTGCAAAAATACTTGAGTCCATAAATGACATCCCTGCAAATATGTTTAATCTTCCAAATGAAGATGTCCACATGTGGAGGAAAAGAACTGTATGTCTGTCCAGTGCCTAACTGATCCTAACTACTCAGTAATTGGCAGTTATTATTATAGACAAAGTTTTTACATCTAAAACCCAGTTACTTTTCTTAGTTTTAAGACAAAATAAATATATAACCATACCACCTGCTTTCTAAGTTGTGACTGATTTAAGACTAAGTCCATATAGAAAACTCTGGGTGCCCAGTACTGCATAATAATTGCATAACAAATTTTTGGTTGAATTGAATATAATTTTCTAGAAGTCAAACACCTTAATGGCCTCAACCTCTCAGAATATAATCTCAAACTTGAAATAAAAAAGATCTCTGAAAATCAGTATGATGAATATAAAACCCATGCTCTGGCCCAGGCGTGGTGGCTCACATGCTCAAAATGCTGTAATCCCAGCACTTTGGGAGGTTGAGGCAAGTAGATCATCTGAGCTCAGGAGTTCAAGACCAACCTGGCCAACATGGTGAAACCCCATCTCTACCAAAATTACAAAAATTAGCCAGACGTGGTGGTGCATGCCTGTAATTTCAGCTACTTGGGAGGCTGAGGCAGGAGAATCGCTTGAACCTGGGAGGCGGAGGTTACAGTAAGCTGAGCTTGTGCCACTGCAGTCACTCCAGCCTGGGCAACAGAGCAAGACTCAGTCTCAAAAAAAAAAAAAAAAAAAAAATCCCTGCTCCGAAGCCAGGTCATTTGTGTCTCCTCTGGGCCTTCTGAACCTCCCTGCTGTTACCTATGATACTAGTCATAGAGGATTATGTGATATTCTCTCTGATAATCTATGTTATACATGATATTGTATTATAATATATGATAAACTTATCATATATGCTATGATATCACATGTGATACAGTAATCTATATCATACTGGATTGATCTGATTTATTTGAAGCAGCGACAAGAAGCAGAAAATGAACTAGTATTAGGGGACTTTTAGCAGTGGACAAAATATTAGCTGCTGGTTTCATGACAAACAAGATTAAAAAGCATATCCCATCAGAAAGAGGAGCACATGTTAGTCTGAGTCATACAAGGAAATGTTAAATAATATATATCATCTTTTGAATAAGGCAGAGAATTGTATAATATTTCAGAAAACAATTTTTCCAAAACAAAAGAAATGCCTTTCAGGTGATAGATTTCAGTTAATTGGAGACAGCCAATTCCTAAGTAATTATTCACCATTATTATTCTGTGTGGTGACACTCACGTGCCGCCTCTGGTTCACCTTGCTTCAATTCCTCCCTTCTGCATTCTTAACTGTTGGGTCTTCCCCTTTCCCCCAGCCATTCTACTTTTCTGCTTTCCAAAGCAGGATGACTGACTCCCCTGGTTTGTCGAGAACTTTTCTAGTTTCAGCACTGAAAGTCTTGCATGCTGGAAAATCCCTGAGTCCCAGGCAAATCAGGACCTCTGGACACGCAATTCCTAAGCCAGGCACTCTGATAGTCCTAGTCTACTCGTGCTTGGTAGGTACGACTTGGTAATTAGATATTTCTCTTTTATAAAGTCATTACAACAACCCTCAGATAGTGATTCTAATCACTGGGTCACTCAACTCCATGGTCTGAAATATTCTGAAGAAACACTCCAGTTCTCAAATAAGCTGATCATGGACTTGGTTCTTTACTTGATTTAAAGTGCACAGAGCTAGCCATCCTTTATTTATTTACGTGTTTATTCATTTACTTACTCACTCAAATTTGGGTGAACAAATATGATTCATTTAATCCGTTTTGCTAGCTTGAAAATGGACATTTCTAGAGGGAAGTTTGTTTTTTCTTTGCAGGTATGACCTGGGAAGCTGCTGCTTCTGAAGGCTAGAGCTTGGAGATCTTGCTTTGCTTGTCACTCAAAAGACAGTTCAAGCAAAAGGACTCTGAAATTCCACCGCTGCCTTTTCTTTTTGTATACGTATTTAATGAAATAAAAAAATAGAGAGGAGGCCTGTATAACATGCAACTCGCTGCCTGGTGTTACCATAACTGGTCTTGCTTAATTGTCTCAATTGCCCAGAGGATTGTGTTACACCTTTGGCTGCCTACCATGGGCCCAAAGCAACAGTGTGGATGTGGTCGGGTGCCTACAGCTTGGTTAGTAACAGAACTTTGTGGTTTTGCCTGGAGACAGACCTAAACAATTCCTCATTAATTGAAATTAATCTTAAGTTTGAAATTTACCCAAATCCCACAACCAGTGTTTGTAATTATTCTACCCCTTGTAAGTTGTTCTCTCTCACCAAACATTAAACGAGGAATTTAAGAACAGGTTTATGAACGAGGCAAGAATTCTGCGCTAATGTGTGCTGTGCAGACAAAAAGGAAATATTTTCTTTACTGAAAAGGATAAACACTGAAAAGCAGAAAGGTCTTAGATTAAATGGTGAGGCTTTTACTAAGAACTCACACAAAAGGAAAGTGCATAGGGTGGTCATAAAAAGCACAGCCAAGTATTGAATGGCCTCAGTTTAATTCTCAGCACTAGTAATTCCTGTATGTACTTGGATAAGGTACTTAACCTCTCTGAGCCTTAGTTTCTTTATTTCTTAAGTGAGGATAATAATAGAGCCTATTCCATAGAGTTGCTGTTAAGACTAAATTATTGAGTACTTAGAAAGAATTTAGGGTCATATTGGAAACATAAATAATAATTGCCATATTAAAGAAAAAATTAGTAAGGCACAACCCATATTTGAGAATGCAAATTTTCTCCGTATTTCCAAATTGGAAAACATTTATTTATTTCAAGTTTGCCAGAGAGAGTAGCATTTCCTCTGGGGCTACATATTCTTGGTAGCTTTGTGACCTGAAACAATATATGGTTTAGTGGATAAAACTACGTTTAGATGCAGGTAAAATCAGAATCCAAATATTACCTTACTGATTCATTAGCCTTAAAATTCAGACTGTTTCTTCACCTAAAACAGAGGTCAACACACTACTGGCAATAAGCCAAATCTAGCCCACTGGCTGTGGATGTTAGTAACATTCTGTTGAAACACAGCCATGTCATTTGCTTTTGTACTGTTGCTAACTGCTTTCACATTACAAGGGTGAATTTGCATAGTTGACACAAAGACCCTTTGGTTCATAAAGCCAAAAAATACTTACTGCCTGGCCCTTTACAGACTTATTTGCCAAGTCTTAATCTATAATACAAAATAATAATATCCTGATTTGGTTTCTGTGAGAATGAGATAAAATAATATGTAATGCAAGAACTCCACACATAGCTGAGGCTTGATAAAGAATAACTACATATTAACACTCATTAAACAGAGAATCAAAATCTAAACTCGATAATATTTTTGTAAGTTTTTTTTTTTTTTGCTTGTTTATTGGTCTTTTCTATTCTCTTTCTACCTAGGCCATCTGTCCAAAAGCAAAATATGAGCTTGACTTCCTCTAACTTGAATTAAACTAATCTGCCACCCCACTGCACCTGTCTGTTGAGACAATTTCTATGGTTCTATTCATCTAACCTATCAGGGGTTTGGGAACATTTGCTTTACATGTTTCTATGGTAATCATATAGGAAGCCCAAAGATTCTTGCACAAATTTGTTGCCAATTTTTAATTTTTTTATTTAGAAATAATAAAATAAGACATAATATATAAAAATATGTACAATCCATGGTTTGTGCAGTACAACAGGAAGACTTTAGATACAAAAAGACAGCAATGGGAAAAATAATAACTATCACAATTGTCAATGGCTAGGATTGTTCAACTTGCCAGAGCCCAGAGCTAAAACCCAAAATTACTAGAAAAGAGATTCTACTTTGCTGAGGGTTGGGGATGGACAGGTAACTACGCCACACTTTTTTCACCTTGACATTATTAGACACAGAGTGAAAAAGAACTCACTGTACTTCTCAGGACAAGCTTTTGCTTTTACTGAGTGTTTTATTATAAAATATGAAGTGACATTTAGTAACTGCAAGGGAATTATGACTTAGGGCACAGAGCTCATCAAATAAACACCGAGAGTTGGGATAGGAGTGTACTGAGAAGACAGGAAGTAAAGAGAAGAAATAATGCATTAACAGAATAAAAACAAAATAAAACAAACTTTTCTAGGAATTTGGAAATGACAACAGTGCTATAGTGACATCCTTAAAATGTCTGATTCAAGTATACTCTTAGAGGGATAGAAAACTACTCCTTTCTCAATAAGCAAAATAGAATTCACTTTGTCTACATTTTATTTAAAAATAGGATAATCAGGAAACTATGGCTCCCTCCAAAAATATAGTGCCCTTCCAGATATGGGCAAAACTTTCTTCAAAGGGGAATAAAGCCTAAGTAAATTCAACAGGGAATCTGCTTGCAATAGAGAAGCAACACACATCTGGGAATCGACCCCAGATATTCATGGTGAGTCCCCTCCGCCTGCCTTCTAATGACATGTGTATACTAATTAAGGAGACCCAGTCAATAAGGACAAATATTTTGAAGGTAAAATGCAGCAATTGATGTCGTGCATTACCTATGTCTTGGCTCTTGACAAAAAGAAAGAAAGAAAGAAAGAAAGAAATGCCATTTAAAGCTTGTAACTGTTAAAATGCTAATAACTAGAAAAAGGTTTCAAATGAACAGTCCATGCTGAAATAAATAACAGAAGAACATAGCAACACGAACCTTATAAGGCTGGTGTATATTTGCTAAAACCATGCTAACCGGTAGCATATAGGTACTAGCTCTCAGAAATTGCTGCACTGAAATTATACTTTCTATGGCAATTATTTTTCTTTACAGACCTCTATTTACATTTGGCTTTAAATATGAAAATATCTGATAAACTTTATAAAATGTACACTTTAAAAACATAGCTTCTGCAAAATTTTCTTGAAAAAAAACAAACCTGTGCACCAGAAATTTTATATTTTTTTCATTTTCAGAAATAAGTTGAAAGATTTCCCTCCCTCTTTCCTGCCCACCCCCCATACCCACCCCCTTTCAAATTTCTCAAGTCTTTTTAAGTGGCAGCACTGTGTGTTTAGGGGGAGTCCCTTTTGTGGTCACCCCCATTCTCCACTATAACTTCATTTAATTTACATATCACTGAATACTCTTTGGTTTGATTATTTTCCTTTGCAAAACGTCATAATAGCAGCAGCTGAAGCCCTCAATATCCTCTCACCATCAAGAACCAAATTGGTGCCTCTTCTGTAAGTTTTCTTGTCCACTCAATCCCCAATTCCTCCAACTCTTTATACACCTTCCCAAACCTGCCTTTACATTTGGCTTTAAAACAACCATTTGCTTAACATCTCTTTCTCGCTTTCATTGAAAATAACACCTCGGTTTTCAAAGCCATCAAATCTGAAGGCTGAAATCAGCAGAAATTGTCATAGTTTTGCAGGCACAGCATTCAGATATGGCTGTTCGAGAACCAGAGACCATCACAAACAACAATTTACAAAATACATGATTCTAGAACAAGTTGTTTTTTAATGGCATACAGGGATATAATACCATAAGAGAGTTGATTTTGAGACTCCAATTAGAAAGAAAAGTCAGTAACCCCAGAATTCACAAATAGAGAACTTTAAATCAAAAAGAGAGTTCCATTATTGAGCCAGATTGGGAAAAAAAAAATAATGTTTCTAGCAAGGCAGTCAGCCAGGTAGGGGAGGCTTCTGGAAAACAACATGTCCTTCCTTAGTAACCTGCTCTGGGGCTCCACAGGAGACAATGCTTAGCTCATATTCAATCATAAGTATGCACACAGAAAAGGGAAATAACCGTTTTAGACCATTATCTCCTTTACTTGTGATTATGTTATTTTCATGTGTCTCTTTGACCCTAAAATACTGAGATCTTTTCATTCCTACCTTCTCCATTAAAAAAGGCAAGTTTCCTCTCCCTCCTAAATACTTCATCTGAAGTGCTGCATCAAACTGGCTTGTCCATACCTCCCTGTTACCCCACTTTAGCATTCACTGCCCTATCTGGCACTGTAGGACTCAATCCAGACAGACGGATCAGAAGAACAAGGCTGGAGGCCATGTGTGGCATCTTTTCTAAGGTGAAGGTGGGCTGGAAATATTCTGACAGTCGAGGCAATAAATTCAGCAGCAAGGGTTTAAACCCATTTCTCTTTCATGCTGGATGGCTCAGTTTTGAGAATGCCAGGATGCGAAGGAGGTCCTATGAAGATCTTATCTTATGAAATAAATTTTGGAATGTGCAAAAGGGAAAACCCAGAAAAATATAAGAGCACATCACCATCTCGCACTTTACATGAGCCTGGCCAGCACTGTCTGGCAGGAAAGAATGGATGTTGATATTGCGTGTGTGTGAATTTTACTGCCCCTTTCTTCTTCTGCCTCTTGAAATAAAAAAGTTACATGAAAGGACAAAATTTTTAAAAGCACTACACTGACTAGACTCTGTCATACTCATAGAGAGTATGATGCTCTATTTTCTGAATAAGGTGCAAAATGAACCGGTGGTTCAAGGTCTTGCTGAGGTTCAAAGTCATTGTCTTTTGATTTCAAGGCAGCCCATGGGGCTTTGTTTTCTTTTTAGTGTAAGCTCCACTGTGCAAAAATATGCATTATCTTTGGTATTTATTTTAGGTAGTCTAACTTAAAATTTGAGATAACCCATTAACATCATGGAGGAAAAAAACAACCATCACCCGGAGGCTACCATTTGGCTAGTGTTACATAATGCCCTTATGTAACAAAGAGCAAGAGAGAAAAAAAAATCAATTCTAGCAAACAAATTACTGGCCTCAAAAAATCAGGCTCTTGTTTTGGCAGTTAATAGCCAAATACTTGCCACTTTGAAGCGCATCATGAGCTTTCAATAAAGTTCAACACTGACTTTAAAATTACACAAAAGAAAAACTACACTGCAACAAAAATACAAATTTGTGTTCATGTAGTTAGCAGCTTTTCAAAAATTAAGGCAGAGTCTTGCCTTTGTTATGCCATTAAAAACATCCTTGTTCCCTAAAGAGAAGCATTCTGGATAAATCAAATACCCAACCAAGGCTTGCCTGCAAGTTCAAGTTTTGGAAAAAACACAAAACAAAACATAAAAACCCATAACTTATTCTACAACATCTATGTGCCATCAGGTCACACAGAGGCATAGTTAGTGCTTTATGCTAATCATGGAGCTTACAGTCTTCCTTTGAAACCATTGTGCTTGCCTCAGTCCCTTGTGGCCGCTTGCTTGACCCATCTTGACCAGTACCGTCATCTGTATAACTGTTTTGGGCCTCTGACCAACAGACCACGTTGTGAAGTAACTATTCCAGAGAAGGAATCAGTCAGTCATATCTCCGACTCTCGCCGTAAGGGCCTGGGCTCTAGAGGTACACTTGCCTGGTTGTGAAGGTCTATGTCAGGGGGCGTGTCCGTACTAGTGCTCTCTGGAACTCCATTTTCGCTGTCATCTTCCTCTTTGCTTGTGAGGGCAACTTCATTTTCATAGCAAAATGAATTCGCATTTGAGAGGATGTATTTCTTTTCTGCTAAGTCTCTGGCACTACAAAGGGGAGTGTTGGGGACTTCGTATGTTTTGTGGAACCTCGAATAGTCCACTTTGTAGTAGTGTTTCTCTTCAAAGAGCACAGGCTCATAGCGGTGGCCCCACAGGATTTCATTTGCTAGATAAGAGCTACGGCACTGAGTTGTCATGGCAGTGGCTTCCACCATGCCTTCCAGTATGACCACAATTTCAAAGTCTGCGTTGTCAATGTCCTGTTTACTCAAATCGTATAAGGGACTGTCTTCGTCTATTTCGTGGACTATAGTGATTGGGGACACCAGAAATATACGATCGATTCCACTGTCAAACCCAACATTGATGTCTATTTGATCCAGAGGGATATACTCCCCTTCAGAAGTGATTCTGGATTTGAGGAGCTGTGCTCGAACGTGAGCTTCCACCAAGTGGCTTTTCCGAAGATTACCCACTCGCCACATCAAGCACAGCTTGCCGTCTCTCATGGCAATCACGGCATTGTGACTGAAGACAAGAGTCTCGTTTCTCTTCTTTGGCTTTGCCATCTTCGCCATGACTGCGCCAATGATGAAAGCATCAATGATACAGCCCACAATGGACTGAAACACCACCATGAAAACAGCAATTGGGCATTCATCCGTGACACACCTGAAGCCATAGCCTATGGTTGTCTGGGTCTCAATGGAGAAGAGGAAAGCAGCCGTGAAGCTGTTGACCTCGGACACACAAGCTTTGCCCACTTTGGATGCATCCAGATCCCCATGGAGCAGAGCTATCAACCAAAACACACAGCCGAAAAACAGCCATGACAGAACAAAAGCCAGGCAGAAGATAACCAGCATCCACCGCCAGCGAATGTCCACACAGGTGGTAAAGATGTCTGCGAGGTACCGTTGCCCCTTTTCGCCCACGTTGATGAACTGAACGTTACAGTGGCCGTCTTTCTTCACAAAGCGGCTCCTGCACTGCTGTCGGGTGTGGACTTTACTCTTCCCGTTCCCAAAGCCATTTGCAACTGCCATAGTGGCCAGCTTCATGCCGTCTTCTTCTGAAGAGACGATGCTGTAGCGGTTGGTTCGCACACTGCCCATCGCTTCTGCTGGGGACTCCAGTGCTTCTGCTTTGGAAAACAGTCTGAGTTTTTGCAAAACGCTTTGGAGAAACAGTTTTGAATGTTCGGTGAAGACACACACACAAAAAAAATGAGGAGAGATGGGTGTCTCTGGGAGCCTTGGGGTTCTACCAAGGTTTGTCTACTGACATACAGAGTCACTTTAATAACTCAGCTGACATCCAGAGAAATGCCCTGCAAGAAAAGAGAGATTGTGCATTACAAAATAAGCCACTCATAAAGAATTCTACTGTCTAAGGCAATATATCCTAACAAAAACACAGAATTAGGTCAAGATAAGTATACTTTACATTTAATTATAAGGTTTTAAATTTCTTCATATCCTAAGCATGCTTTGTAAAACTTTTATTTAAAAGTATAAAGTCATTCAACGGAAGAGTTGTCTGTGACAGTTGTTCAACCAAAATGTCAAGTCAGGTTCCCTTTCCCTTATTTTTGACCAGTGATCTAGAATATTCTGTTATTCAAGTCTACCCCTCCATTCTCTTATTCTCTTCTTTTGCCTGCCCCACTTGCTAGGATCCCTGTTAAGCAGATGAAAAACTTTCTGATTCCAAGATTTGTCACAAAATTTTTGGAAGCAGGACATGTTTAGAGAACTTTTCACGTGAATGCAGCATCGGTATTCACTGAGTTGCAGGTGCATTACGAGAGAATATTAGAACCCTTGATAACTTTGAAATGGGAAGACATTGATTATTTTGTTTAAATGATATAACTGAGAAGACTGGATAGGCAGAGGAAATGCTGGAGGAAGAAATTTAGATTCACACCTACAAATATAATAGTGAAGTGGATTCTGGCATAGGCTTGACTGAGTGTATATCCTGAAAATAGAGGGAACTAGTGGACAAAACCTCCTATGATAATACTGACCCTATTGCTAATAATCATCTGAAATGGATCCCACTTTCTGGATACTGTTTAGGCTTGCTTCATCACTTCTCACACTTTAAGCAACCACTATGCAGAAATACCTGCTAACATCTCTATTAGTGCAGGTAATTCTGGCTTGAAGACTTTGAAGACGAAGTCTTGCTCTGGGGGATAGAAAGCAATTCTGTTGCCTAGCAATAAGAGTCCTGAAATTCTCCTGAGATGCGGCTGTCATGTGTAATGACAGGCTAGGAAGTAAGCACCATTGTGCCATAGAACCAGGTCTTTAGCAGATTGAGATAAGGCAGGAACTCATTTCATGTAAGTCCAATGCTGTGTTCTCTCAGACAGAGACAACTGTAAGGACAGATTATAAATGCCCATCTGCTTACTTTCACTTCCAGCACTGTTGTTTGCTATCGGTTCCTATGGAGAAGGCACTCACCTTTACTTAATATGTGCAAATAGTAGTTAGTTTTCTCCTATTGCCCAATTCTTCCCTAGGTAAGAACTATCTATTTACTTTAACTTTCCATCTTCACTCCTAAGAAATTATTTTCCTTGACTAACTAACAAAAACCTAAAAGTCTAAGATGTTTTCTTTGCCAAATGTGTAATAACAAAACTAATATAGGTTAGAACTGAAAAATAAAGGCCACCCTTAGCTTTCCATACAACCAAATCCTTCTCCTATATTAAAGGGGGCAACGAATAACTCACGAGAAGAGTCAGGGATTTGTTGATGCCTGATAATGAAGACTCTACTTTTTTCTTCTCCTCTAAATTCACTAAGATTAAACAGTTAACAGAACCGATTTCAGCCAAGCCAGCTGCAAACAAATAAAGCAAACCATTCATGTTGTTTTTGTGCAATCCCTTAAAAAGAGGCAAGGTGCATTGCCTTTGAAAATGTCTTGTTACTGTCTTTTGACTTCTTCTTTATCCAAGTTATTATGCAAGAATGTGCCCCAACACATTTTTCCTGAGATTAGTCATCTATGAAAATTGCAATGTGTGTTACATTTTGGCAGCTTTTGACACCTAAATGATGCTCAATTTGAAAGTGCCTTTGAATTACTTTATAAAAAGAAGTTGCTGTGCTTTCTTAACCTTCCACCTGCTTCAATGTTTTGTCTGCTTCCCTGTGAAGTTTGCACTTGGACCAAGGAAACAAGAATCCTACCCCTCAAGGTTCTAGATCCTGTACATGGAAAGCATTTTTAAGCAATTACTTCATCTTAGTTGTCTCACATGAAATTGACAATCATTTCTAAACAGACAGAGATAGCAACAACACCAAATGCAGGTGTAGGTTTCAAAAAAGGGTAGAAGAGCTTCATTTAATGAATGCTTTGTATTCCTGAGTTCTGATTGACTTCAGAACTTTACATTATAAGCTGACACCAAGAAATTCCCTTTTCATGATTCAAAACAATCCTTCCATGTGAGTTACCATTAGGGGCCATGAGTAGACAGTCTCAAATTTCTTCTGACTTCTTTCTGTACTCCTTCCAGATTAAAACATAGCAACCATATGAAATCTAAAGACTGAATTGTGACTTTCCAAAAGTCTTGACCCCAGGACATTTGTTTGAATTCCACAAATCACACAATACCAGCTTCCTATGAATAGCTTTCTGCATTTAGAATCTCAGAAGTAGCCTGTATTGAGAGACTATTATTGTCTTATTTCCATTGCTAATAACAGAATTTGTTCCACATGTGGAGCATCATTTAGAAATTTTACCATTTCTTCCTGGAAAGAGAAAAAGAAGACTTTTTTGGCTAAACGAAAACTTTTGCCACTTCAAATAGATATGCCCTAAAACAGATTTATGTGTGTACACATGTGCATACACATATGTATTCGGACTTTCTGTGGAGCTGATTACATAGCAAAAGTCTAGAACCTGTCAGGGTTTGATGGGGTAAGAGTCCTAATGTTTCATGGTAAAAATTGCTTTTACTGTTAACCTGCCCACAAGCCTGAGTGACTTTAAGCAAGCAGAAAACTTCCTTGCCCGCTCGCTCTCACTAGCAATTACCAATTCATGAGCAGCTGGGAAAAGCTATCATTAAAAAATAGGGCTTTCATGCAACTTTATTTCAAGTCTATATTCAAAATAATGTTTTGAGATGCAATCAATTAGAAATAGATGAGAACACTAAGTGATATAAATCCAGAGAACTGAAATTTTAATTTGATGAACAATGTGTAAATTCCCCTTTCAGTCAAAATATGTAAGGGCCTAGATGTAAATTTCATGGACACAAATAATCATTTTTATCCAGGCCATAACCCATGATGTAGAAAGTATTTTTGGGAAATTGAGAGGATACATGTGGTGCTGTTCATGTTAAGACTATTTATAGGCTGAGCCAAAATTAAGCATAAGCAATGGAAAAAATAGTTCAGCGCTTCAAACTTAGGTAGATGTTAAAGGAGAAAGAGCTATGGATAAATATAAGGTCAAGGAGATCGCGTGGTACAAATGGGGGATCTAAATTGTTTTGACTATATAGGTAATGCTTCCAATAGGCTTATAAATAACTTAAAAAAATCAAATAAGAATAAATGTGTCCTGTAATGTGGTCATGGTGTGTAATGAATAAGAAAGTTTCTAAGGATAGGAAATAAAGATAGCAAAAGAAAATGTACTGGGCTGAGAGGTCTCCTAATGACTGTTTAGAACAGCTATTCCCCAGCTGACGCCATATAGACCAGCCTGAGTGTGCTGTGGGCACATGTTGCTATGTGAGCACAACTGCTAGGAAAGCAACCTCTTAGAAGCTCAATAAACATAAGGGAGGAGGAGGGGAAAGTTGGGAGGGGAGGGGGGATACCTATCTATCTACCTGAGTCCCATGTCCGACATTTATACTCAACCACGCTTGGCTTGTAGCATGGCTCAGTATTTGCATATGCTGAAAAATAGACATGTCTGGTAAACAAAAATATATGGTTAAAAATCAATCTGTGCAGGTAGTTGTTGTCAATCTTTCAGGTTATGCAAAAGTCACATAAGGACACTACAGCTAACTAGCGATTCTGTAACTGAAGAGTCCGAAGGATGTAGAAAGACTGTGTTCTTTTATTTTTCTACGCCAAATTCATGAGAGTTTAGATAAAATATTTCTTATGGAGACCAAGAACATTAAAAAATAAAATGTCATCAAAATATGAGAGAGGAGGGAAGAAAGCTAAGTAAAATGACCTTGACCTTATTCTCACCCTTTCCACCATGCTTCAATTAACCTCTCTTACCCCTTCAGAGCACCAGGATTTTTCCAGATAATGGCAAATACAAATAAAACATTTGGAAGTGAGCAGGAAAACGCTAACAAGTGTACAGATAATGTACAGCAGACACACAACAGTGGTTGGCAAGAGGAAATCTGGCAGTCCATTGATTATTAATGTGAAAAGAAAACAAATGGTAAAACGCAATGTGGATTCTTTGCATATCCAAAACAGGTTTTCAAATAACACCTTATTTCCTAACAGGTAAACTCTGAATTTAAGAAAATCCCCAGAATTCACAGCCTGATCCTAGTGATCATCCTGCTGATATCCTTACCCAAACACAGACATTAAACTGCCCATTTCATATCCTTAATTTTTTTTTCCAATTGTCATAATGAATCCATGCTATGATGCAATCTTTTTGCAGAATCAAGTCGTTTTGACTACTTTGCGTCCCTAAAACCACACTGTCTTCAAGCTAGGTATTAATGCCATTATTACTAAACACAACAAATTGGTTAGGGGAGAGTGATATATAATGTGAAAGTTTTGCGATCCTCAGGCTCAAACCCAACTCAAGCTCCCGCTCTTCTTCCAGGAAGGCAACTTTGAGACACTTACTCTGTTTGAAACTCACAGCTATACTTGAAGCAATGACGGAAAAAGAAAAAAAAAAAAAAAAAAAAAAGCCAAGGATCAAAAATAGTGCTGAGTCCCAAGGTTTGCCAAGCTTTAAGACCAAAGCTCGAGACGTACCCCCAAACCAAATTCCCTCCCACCTTTTTTTTTCTTAGAGTGAGAACCGAACACAGACTCTCGCCCTTGCCTCCAAACCCAGTATCTCGCTACAGCTGGTGCATTGGAAGTTATGAGCACAAACAGATGCTGCAGAGAAATCTGTTTCTATTGCTCAACTGTTCCAAGCATGTCTCAGTATTTTTAGCTCTGGGGATGTTCTGGTGCGCACACAAACTATATAGGCATGATCTGGGACTCCGGAGCGTGGGTGAGCGCTACAGCAGTGTGACAGCTGGGCACCTCTGGAGCAGCGGGGCAGGGTAGGGTAGGGGACGGCGGCCAGAGTCCATTCCCCAGGACACACAGGCAACGAGCGAAAAGGAAGAAAACACAGCAGCCCTTACCTGTTGCTGGCGCAGGAGCATGGGGACATGGAGTGGAAGTGGGGGGTACAGAGGCATGTAAGATCCAGTAGTTTGTAAAGAGCGAGTAAGCCAAAGCTAACCAGAATTCCCAAGACCCAGCCTGCCGGCGCCGGGAAGGCTGCGCGCTGGCCAGGGCTCCAGTGCGCTCTGCAATATCCTGGGCTCTTTTGAGGCGGTCCGTGCGACACCGGCTCTCCTGGCCCCGCCCCCGGCCGCTGCCGGCCAATCGCAGCGCTCCTGGCCGCGCGGCCGGCCCCGGGAACCGCGGCGGGGAGGGGAGGATGCTTCGAGGCGTTGCCAGCGGAGGGAACCTGCCGCCGCCTCCTCCCCCTCCACCCTCGGAGCCCCGCCGGCCGGGGAGTCGGGCTCCGGCCTGGGAGGAGGAAGTTGTGGCCCAGCTGGGACAGCAGCAGGTGGGACGCTCCGCGCCCGGCCGTTGCGGCTGCCTGATTGCAGCCTGGCCTTGGGCAAAGCTTCCTACCCCGTCTCGAGCCCCACGCACTTCCCGGTTCCCCTCCTCGCGGGAGCGCTGTGCCCTGCGTGCTCCTCGAGGGGGCCTGCGAGGTGCCAGCGCCGGGGAGAGACGTTTGCCGCCGTGGCAGGACTGCTCGTCGGCCCCGGCGCGTCTCCCTCTCCCCTGCCTCTCTGCCGGAGCCCCCACGGCGGCCCTTGGAAGCCCCCAGCCGAGGCTGCTGCGCCCGGAGAGGCCGCTAAGTCAATGGGGCGAGTGGCTGGGACGGGCGCGCAGAGCCCCAGGGACTGAGACGCGCGCAAGTGTGGCCCCTACAGCGCCGCTCGGCTGTTTCTTCTCCGGACTGTTCGCGAAGTACTTACAAGGAGCCTAGGCTTCTCTGAAGGGGAGACGGCTCGTTCCCTCTCGCCCTGTCCGCCCTCAATCTCTCCACCACCGCCCGGCACGCTTTGCTGATCTAAAATCAGAACAATTAGAGAGTAATGATTTTTCTGGAATAGCTACTCCTACAGACACTTAGATCTGCCCTCTCCTCAGCGCCTCCCAGCTCTCATTTCCAGCGGAGCCAGGCAAGAGTGCGCAGACCCCTAAAAAGCAACTTGAGTGTTAACCGGGTCTGGATCCTGGAACTTTATAAACTAATCCGTGTGGTTTTTTTGTGTGTGTGTGTGTGTGTGTGTGTAAATCGAAAAGTAAGTGCATATTATTTCTGAGTACTTCGGTGTCCTAACTAAGCTTTGCTCCTAAAGAACAGGATATATGTAGGAGCCTTTCCTTCCACTAAGTTTTTAAAAATGTTTATTTCCTCGAGCGATCAAATGTATCGTTTGTGCAGTTTATTTAAACCTCTACAGGCCTCATTGAGTCGCTAAACTAATTCGGCAGACTAGCTGGTATCGTGGACGGCGCAGTCGGGGTGGATTTCCGTGTGTAGGAGAGGTGAACTGACAATTCAAGAAAAGGTTCTGCGCGCGTCCCCACCTCCCAGCCTCATATCCACACGTGGCCCCTAGGAGGTGCTGGTGAAATATGGTTGCTTAGGTTTTGCAGATACGCACTTAATCCTGCCTTATGGAGTGTGCCTCTTAGCACTGAGCAAGGTACTTAAATTAAAAGGGTGTGAAATAGACGAAGCACTCAGTGTGGCTGCTCTGAAAGCCAAATGGCGATGTGGTTCCTGTTAATTTATTGAGATTATGCTGTTCACCAAGCCCTGGTACCAACTCTGTTGCATTTGGGAATAATGCCTGCCCTAAGGGAGGTCTAATTTAACGTTTATTTAGTTATGTGTTATTTATAAACAGCTTGAATTAACACTGTAAAGTAGATGGATGTTAAGAACCTAGACTGTACCCTAAAGCTAAAAGAACCTGAGGATTGACAAGTTAACTCTAGATTAACCGAAGGATAATGGACGAGTTAACAGCTCAGTTCAATAAGCTTCTTCTGACATATGCTTCCTCCTGGACTTCTAAGAAACAGACCAAAAGTTTAATTATACCTTAAAACACGTTAAGCCCAAATGGAAAAAGAAAATTAATCACTTACAGATTTTTTTCTTCTTTATTATGATTCAGTTGGTGCATCTGCAGATGGCTAAGAATTTTCCAAACCGTATGAATTCAGAGAGGCAACACTTTCTTTGCTCTTGTTGTTCCAGGTAATGAGCTCTCTTTGAAAACCAGTCACTCACTCGGAAAAGGATGCCATTTTTATGCAGCTTGGATTGAAATGATTTTGCTTTAGTCTTCTATTCTAAATAGAATGAATACACCACAGGCCAAGATAGTTTCATATGATAGAAAAATCTTGGCCTCTGTCATCAATTATCAACATCACATCCCCAACTTCTCTCCTCCCAGGGGACTAAAGGTTGTGCAGCAAGGCTTATTTCTTGAAGGAGAAGTTTCGGGAAAAATTGATGATTTGAATTCCAACTTTCCAATCTTAGTAGAATCATTATCTTAATTACTTAGCTAAATAAGGAAGTATGAAGGATTAAATTTTGCAAGTGAAATTTTCTAAATGCATGGTAGCATTGAATAACTCTATTGCTTTGTTTTTTTAAAAGGAAATATAAATGCATTTTAATTAATAAATGACTTTTCATCATGTCCCTATTAGGAAAATTCCTGTGTGCCAATGCTTTCAGTGCTTGAATTAATATATCTTTTGAAGTGATGTGTGATACAGATTTCTCTATTCAGAGTCTATCTTTTTCGGCCAAGTCAGGCCTTATTTAGCAAAAATCCCCATTAGTCTTGGATATGAATGCAATCGGGTGTTGGGATCCATCTGTGGATTAAATTTTTCCAAGGAAATGACAATTATGCTCTTACTGATTCTCTCCACGGTAACCACCTATAACATTAGAGCCAAATATTAGTCACAATCTGGATCTGCAGTCAGATTGTAAATAGCTGTGTGACGCAGAAGGTGATTGTTTCACTAGAAGCACAGATCTTTCTTTTGCATTTATATAAAGATGCCCAACAATTAGACATATTTTCAGACTTCCATTAACCATATATATATATATAGAGAGAGAGAGTTCAGTTTCACATAAATGGTAGGTAAAAAGCTCCTGGCATTTGTATCCAATGGATATTAACCACCTTCTAATCTTAAAAAAGTGATAATCAGTAGCAGTAGATAATGAATAAATCATTGTCAGATTGCCCTGAAATGTAGACAGGATGAGTTTGCAATCTGCTGCTATGAGAACAAGCCACTTACTGTGGTATTTTAAGGCATGGTATGCAAGCTTACTTATTGGAAAACAGTTTTGGCCTTAAGTTTCACTTACCACATTGGTAATATTTAATCTTCATATTAAATTCAATGACAGTATTTTTTGAAATAACTACTTGGTACTTTGGCTATGTGCTAAGTGAGGTGAAAGACGAAAGGGTCCTAGGAGGAGAAATTCCTGTCCTTAGGAGTTCAGATGTCCAATTGAGGAGACAGACAAGGCAGAAGGAAACATTTAAATGATCAAATGACAATATAAAGCAGTTTATGATTAAGCACTAACATGGATCAGGCAACAATTAAAACAATAATTTTAGAGATATTTGAAGAATGGAATGAAGCAGAATTTATTGGGAAGTCTTTGTAACGGAAGATTTAATAAATATGACATATTACTATATAGTGATCTTAAGGATGCTGGAAACACATCAGAAGACAGGAGTATCTCCTCATTCAATTAATTTCACAAATGCCCACTATGCTCCCAGACCTTTCTATGTACAGGTAATCAAGTGTATGAATTATAAATCATTTCTGAGAATAAATGTCAGTTACATGATGAAATGAAAAGAACAGTATGTGTTAGTATAACTTTTGATAATTAGTGTGATTATAATAAACATAAGCTATTTCATTTTTTGCCTGCAAGACCGTAGGCCTATCAAGGTACAGTAGAGCATTTTCTTCTGCATTAAATGACCCTAGACTAAGCTTATTTAAGACTTTCTGCTTGTTTTTTCTTTCCATCAATGTGAGCCTTCAGTTCTCATTTTTGCTTTTGATAATGAACCTTTAATCTGTCAGGCTGTCACCATGCTCTGCCTAATTTGTTGATTCTAATCTGCACTGGGCTGAGAAATTATGTAACCAAGGTTGCTGCAGTAATGTAAAAGCAAATATGATTTAACATATCTAAAGATGCATTTTGAAGTCATATGAACAGATGCTGAATTTGGAGTTACCTTCACTTGGTCAACCTCTATTTTGGGTAATAAAGCTTCAGGATTTGGATTTATGGAATCTATTTTGCTTCTCAGAGCATTTAAATGGCTTAGTCTTTGTATTTGCTGTTATGAATAGCTGAGAAAAACTTCTGAGTAAGTGAGATACCCTTGTGTTTGCAACTATTGATATGTTTGTATGTATACGTAAAACAAAATCATACACTCATTTATTGAGAAAAGAGTTGAGTGCTTACTTTATCCTTGTATTATTATGACCTTTATTTTCCATCAAACATGTTAAAACCAAAAACAGTAAGTGGGGCTTTAAGAAGCTCACACTTCCAAAACATCCATGTTATTATTTAGTAAATTACTTCTTCTGTCATGCTCTGGAAGACTTCATTTATTTCACGTGAGTGAGACAATTACCCTCTGAAAATACCATATTCATTTTAGGGCCAGACCCTCCAATACTATGTTTCTTGATTCAGTGATTACAATGATTATTTCATCTGTTTTTTCTGGTATGCATTAGTCTCCCAAAGGTAATGATCTTACAGCCTCAGTTTACCCTTTATAACCACAAATAGCAGTTCCTTAGATCAGGTAGCCCTACCATAAGTGCAGGTCATTGGTTAGAAGAGGTGCTAGCTGAGAAAATATCAATCACTATGCATAGACTCATCATTACCACTGGGGAAAAGCAAGCCGTATAACTGGAAGGGTGTAGTACCACTATTTAATCATAGTAATTAAGCAATAATAAGAAGACTAATAATAAGCTAGCATATATGGAGGGTTTCCCAGAAAACAAACACTGCTTTTGTGCTTTACAGGATGTGCTATCCTGATGTCGTATATTGCACGTACATTTGTATGGGAAAATAATGAAAACAGGGAGGATAGGAAGGAAGGAGGAAGTAGAGGAGACAAGAAAATATTCACTAGAAACTATTGGTTCTAAAGGAGACACAAACCCATCAGTAGCCACCAGGGAAAGTGAGACTGCCACCAGCATTCATAGTCCCCCTCTAAGCACAGTAAGAAATGCTTTCCAGTGAGAGATGCCACAATTAGCAAACTGAATCCAATGTTTAAAACACCTGTTAGAATGTCTCTTTGCTTAACAATTCATCTTTGGAAGATCATTAAGAGTCATCCAACTTGGCTTTTTCCAGAACTTACAAAAGCAAAACAAAAAATTAAACAAACACAAACTTCAGACAGCCAAAGCTAGTCACTATTATAGATATTTATGGAATATGCCAAAAGCTATGAAGAAAATGCAAAACATATTTTGAGTAATGTCAACAACACTGTAATGATACTCTTGAAAGAAAATGTACATACTTGAATGTCTAGATTTTGAGATGTGGGCTTTAAGAGCTTGCAGGTTTTTTAAAAGGGTATTTTTGGTATTTTAAAAAATTATTGCTAAAATGATGCATGTCTATTTTGGAAAATATAAAAGATAAGCATTTTAAAATGTAGAAGAATGTTGGTAAATGTGCAAAATAATATAAATTAATATTTCCACCACTGGAAGATAACCATTATAAATAAACATTTTGATATATCTTTCTCCTTTTCCTCTATTTCTATTTTTAAGTCTATGTTTTATAATTTTTAAAAAGTAGCATACTGTTGTTGTTTTTTTTTTAAAGATGGGGTCTCACTACGTTGACCAAGCTGGTCTCAAATTTCTTGCTTCAGGCAGTCTTCCAACCTCAGTCTCCCAAAGTGCTGGGATTATAGGCATGAGCCACTGCATTTAGTCTCTCTAATTTTAAGATCAATTGTGTCATATTTTTAATACATGAGCATCACACTTTTTATATTATCTAAACATCTGTCATGCAATTAAAAATCATTTGAAAGTATATATTTTAATGATCACACATATTTTATGAACTATAATTGTCACCTATCCTTATACCTTTATATTCAGTTTTTTTTAACCCTTATAAGCATGAATTGTCTGTACTCGGAGATTTTTCATCTTCATATCTTTCTCTTTTCTTATCGATTTCTAGATGTGCAATTACTAGGTCAAAGCTTATGAGCTCTTAAAGCTTTTTTTTTTTTTAATGCAGTCCTTTCTAATGAAATTCCAATGCATTGAATCTCAAGGATGTTCTAAATTATGTAACTTTGATGATAGTGGCAGTATTGTCCAGTAGGGAGAGGTTGAGCTTTTGGTCAACTTGACATGTGTTTGCAACCTCCCACTTACTAGTTGTGAAAGATTGTTATAAGAATGAGAAATAATATATGTAAAATGTCTACCACTTTGTGATCACCTAATCAAAGATATCTATTTATTCTATCACTATTGCTACTGCCACTAATGATGATGAAAATGATAAAGCGAATAAATCAAACATGTTAGCTAGGATAATAACGCATGCATACTAAAGTCTGTAAATAAATAACAACTTTATGTAGTGCTTAATTAAGTGCAAAAGTCATAAATGAAGAGGTAAGCATCTGAGGAACTTAGCAACACATTAGTTCTATATTTGATAGTTACAGGTTGGCGTGAAACAGAAAAAAGTAAAAGGGATTTCATAATTGATCAGAATTTGAACAAATTCATAAATGTGTTTAAAGAAATATTAAGATCGAACATTAAACTTGAACCAGATTTTAGTCTTTTAAGGCAAAGATGTTGAGTTGACACTTGATTCTTGACACAGGGAGAGATCTACAGATGACTGAGCAGAAGGATACGATATGTAAGTAGGGCTGTTGGAACATTAAACAGACAGTCATTTCTTCTTCCATTGCTTCTGGCTGCAGTCCTACCATGTTACCTTCACTTCCATTTTTGTTTTTTTAATATGATTTCCACATTCCAATTTTTAGTTAAAAGAAAATAGAGATATAGAAATTGTATTGCATCTCCTCATGTGAATGGGACTATGCATGTGGATTCTAGCCTGCTGATGCCAACTTCAATGCATATTCCTCTACTTTCTGCAGAGTGTAACTTTTGCTAGCATCTCTGCTCAGACAAATCTAGAAACCTAAAATAAGACCTCTATTTTTCAAAGCCACTTTCTAATTCTCCCCCACATATCCCCCACATTATTTCTCTCCTAACTCTAAAATATATGGAATTTGAATTTTTGCTCCTTATGCAGGACTCAATTCCAAATGCTTGGCTCAGTTTTCATGCTTCCCTGTGCAAGAATTTCTTCCCTTTTAAAAATAAATTTTATCAGTATCTATGGGTTTAATTGAATGTTTCCTTCATCATTGACCAGCTTCCATTCTGTAGGCATTCATCCTGAATTGAGATTTAATTCCATTCTTCCAATAAACTTATGTTTTAATATTCAAAGCCCTAGTGTATAAGTTACAAATAAATAAAACTTATATTGCAACTATACAAAAATAAAATGCTGTACCCAATGACTACCAATAATATTAGTGATTTATCATAGCATGATAATATTCACAGCATTATATGACTATTAAAAGAAAATGCAAGTTTTCAGGTGAAACTTTTAGCTCCATGGCAGACTATGCTCTGGTTATCTGTGTACACAGTTTGCAGCTACAAAAACCTACTTTGCTATTTATTACAGAAAAGTGCTCAGTTAAAAATAAGTGCTGTTCCTTCAGCAAAATAGTCACCAACCCAAAACTCCCTGTGACATTTTACAATGCACACAGCCTCATGTAAGTTTAGACGAGCGGATTTATACTGTCTTATGAGTGCCCGCCCCTAATATATTACCTCCTAACGCAAAAGTAACATATCTTTCATGACTATTTTGACAAAAGTTTAAAACACATACGATGAAGTTCAACTTTCAGGAACCAAGGACTGCCAGAAAATATTAGTTTCTACATTATACATCCATTTAGAAGCTTACTTGAAATCTGGCTTTTATAGAGGAATGGTATGAATAAGTGGAACTGTGCATTTTTTAAACGATTGTCATTAAAGCAGAAATTATAGGGTTAAAAAAAATACGGGTGCTTAGACTTTTAATTTACTTTTTAGGCTCAAATCTAGACATTTCTTTTGCTTCATTTGGATTTGAGCCACATACAATTCATTTTAAGTGTTAAAGAAATTTAAATGAATTATTTTAAGCAAATGTTTTTAGAAATTGTTTCTAGGATTAGCGATAGAACAACTCTGAATTTATATAATAGACTTAAGTTCTATCACCAGTGTTTCAGCTTCTGATCTTTTTATCTGCAAAAATCTCATTTCAAAAGTTGTAATAATACAAAAGTCTATTCTTTTGTATGGTTTGCATAACTGAGTCACCAAGTTTTAGCAAGGCAGGAACTAATAGTATAAATAATGCTTTTTTTTTTTTTTGTAATCTGATTGCCATTTCCCTGCATGTAAACAGAAATATGTGAATACTTACATTTTGCCTGTTAAGTCAACTTGGGAAAAAATTAATTAGGAGTGCCAGCTTTCCCATTTACTAAGACTAAACCTCTTTTATGTGTTAGCACATGTAAGAATGTTTTTAAAAAAATCCTTGAAATAATATGTCCTACCTATCAAAGTCCAAAACTATTGCTTTCACTGTATATTATTTTTATATAAAATAAAGATAGTGCCTCCTTTGCACAGATTAAGCTAAGGAAGGCATATACTTAATAGTTTAGTTGGCAGAAAGCAAATTAAAAAAATACATGAACATGCAGGCACACACATATAAACACATGCGTGTACACAATTATTTCTGTTGACCCAATGATGACACATCAAAAAGCCTCATAAAAAGATAAAGAGGGCTAAGATTTGATTTGCAGTTGCTTAGTTCTGACAGAAGAGCTGTGGTCAGTTCTAAGACTCTTTCTCGTAACCTGCCTTAACGATCTTGATTTTAGAGTCCAGTTGGTATTTAGAGTCCAGTATTTAGAGTCCAGTTACATTTTACAATTTAAAAAGTCACCTGTTCACTCACTACACTTATATTTATGATGTACTAAAATATGCAAAATTCAAAATAGATACTGGCAACTCTCCATATCTTTGAAAAGTAGAACAATCTGTAAAGCTCTGAGGTTAAACAGCTTCAACATGTCAGTAAAACATGAGCTAAGTACACATAATTTAAGCAGTTCCTTTAGACTAAACGACAATGCACATATTATTTAAATTTTCTTTCAGAAGTAATCTGAACATCTACCTGGTCAAAGTATCATTTAGCCCAACAGGCTTAGTCCCCAATGCCGTATCCATAGTTTCAAAATCCAGACAGTATAATGGAAGTTTATACAAGTCTCTTTAATCCTGGGTTCAAAATGAATCAGTGCTCTTCTCTAAGTGAATCAAACACAGAAATTAGTTTACTCCTCTCAGTGTTCTATCTTCTTTCCTTAAGCATTGCTTGACTTTGTTCCTTTTAT